AAACAGAAACGGTTAAACTTACATCCTTCGGTTTTCAGATTATTTGATGAAGTCTACATATTTACATATATGTTGTCTATATATATTTACATGTACACTTAACAACAACACTAGCATATACATACTCCTATGTAGACCTCTTTAGCTATAAGTCTTCAGTGTGTTTACTTAAAGAGGGACTCCTGCTACGTTTAAGAGAATATTATTTTCCCCTAAAAAATGTGCTAGTCTGGATTTCTCAATATAGTTGATTGAGAAATTGAAAAGACCACATGGCTTGGGGATGGGAAGAAAGGGGGTGATCATACCCAGAGTTGGTAGTTTGAACATAACGAAAAGAGTTTTTCTTGCTTTTCTAAGGATCATGTTAAGTCTTAACATGTTGTGTGTGTATTGGTTAATAAAAACAAAATGCACCGAGTCCTAGAAGGATAGGGAGAAAAGTTTGTGTTAATCAGGATTATAGTGATTCCAGAACATTCTTAAGCTCAGTTGATCAGAGGCAGTAAGCTCACTGTTGTAGGATGGTAAGCATTCAGATAGACCATGTCTTCTCTCAGGCTGGTGTTGCAAATGCGGTTTTATTTTGCTAGCTGTTATGCTCCTGAATTCTCCAGGAGGCAGTAGTCGTTTCAGAAAGGAGCAGAACCTGGGAGCCCCAAGATGTGCACTTACGTTTTAGTAGCCATTGCTGGGTTTGAGTCACCACCCATTTTGTGGGGGAACAGAGAACAGTCTCTGCAGTTCCCTTTGAAAGGATTTTGAAGACAGTGACTGAGGGGTGGGGCAGAGAGCATGCTAAAATCATTCAGCTCCTCTGGAGATCAAGGTCACGAAGAAACCTTTTCCCAGCTGTAAATCAACTACTTGTCCTCCATTCTTTAAAGCATTTTACACAAATGACTGTTGCAGTTTTACGGGTCATGCCTGGGGTTAAGAGTCAGTTTGCGTGGTATACATTTTGGTGATTAAAAAGCAGTATTTTATTGAGATGGTAGCATTTCTGTTCACACTCAGTATTAGAAAATACTCAATTTTTAAAAAGGAAGATTTGTTGCTTATTAAAGCAATATTTTACAGAATGCTTATTTGATTTCACTACATTGTCAAAAAAAATAAATTTAGTTATTAAAACGGAATTGTAACAAAGCAATGAAAAGTCTTTAAGTAAAAATAAATCTGAAGAATGATATTGATGATCACTAGCATTTTAATGAGTGATTATTTCACTGAGCATTTTCTGCAAGCCCTTTTATAGGTATTACCAAATTTAATTCTAAATCCATCTAGAGGTAGGAATTATTGTTGTCATTTATTATTGTTCAAAAACAGGAGACTCAGCAGGGCTAAGTATATTGTCTAAAGTCACACATAGCAGATGTGAATAATGTGCAGAGGCCATGCTTTAAATGGAAAAGAACTCAACACCTTGACTTTTCAGACTTCATAGGATACAAGCCTAAGCTGAAGTAATTATCCATGATATTTTTAAAGTAAGCTAGTTTACATGGAAATACAGGTGATTCTTGGGATTTGCGATAGTGTGTTCTATAAAGTTGCCAGAAACACCGGCTGAATGACTTTTGAATCACCGTTCCTGGGGGAAATACAGGGTTAGTTTCCTGTATACTTGTAGTCAAAAATTTTCATGAACTGACCAGTACGTACCTTGTGTTATGTTTCTGTTGAAATATATTTAATGTTGATTCATTAGCATGAATCAATGTGAGTTAAAATGCCCACTAGCATTAGAACTCATGCCTGAAAAAGCTAGTCTAACCCACATCTTTTTCCATAAAGCGCTTTATTTACCCCTTTGCAGTTATAAATGCTAGACAGCACTTCAGCACTACACTTTGGGACCATTTTAAGCAGCAAGATCACTAAGAGGAAGTGCAAGATGCAAAAGAAATATGACACTAATTATATCACCACAGGGATAGTCATTCACGGCATGGAGGCTAAAACAAGAAGGAAGGGTATCAGCTTGTTTGACTTCAGCTGGAAATACGCACCTCAGACAACTCAATTTTTGGGTTGTTTTTTTTTTTTTAAATCTGTGATTTTGTCTGCAAATGGCTGTACATACTCTGCTAGTGTTGACTGATTTTGTGATTGTAGCCAGTAGGTGAGTTTGCTGATAGGAGTTTTTAGACAGTGAGGATTTTTATTAAGTGAACACCTAAGTGTCTTAGTGGCATTGGCAAAAATGTTGAAGCTGATGAGAAGGTGTAGGAAGACAATGTCTGTGGAAGTATTTAAATCATATTTTAGAAAGAAAATATCATCATGAAAAAGGACACATCTCTGTGTCACTGTTTTCTTTGTTTTAATGTATTGCCAATATGTCAGCATACGGGGCACCTCTGTGGATTAGTATGTACGTAAAGATAGTTAGGTACTTTAAAGATGGAGCAAACGGAAGTCATTTGGAATATTACATGAATGTAATATGCATCTTTTCTGCCTCGCTTTTGTGGTTTTTTTCCTGTAACACTGAATTGTACTTTGAGGTAAAAGATACACCATGGTTACATGTTAATCTGACTCTGGGCGGTGGGATCTGTCTTCTGTTGCCAAGAAAAGTATTGTATTTTTCTTGGTTTTTGTTACAGTTGAGTAATTTTCATTGCCAGCAGCACAGTGCACATTAGGGGAGAGCAAATAAACAACACAAGGAACTTGGTGCCAGGAAGTCGCACCCCAGACAAGAAACCCATAGCCTTGAATTGACTTGTGGGAGACTGATTGCTACCAAATCCAAGACTGGTGACCTGTGTTGATTCTTATACTTCTAGAAGTGGAAATCATTTCATCACAAGATCCTTGGAAAGGGGTTATGGATTGATGTTGGTGGTGTGGCAAACAGTTTCTTTGTAATTCATTGTTAACTCATCCTGTGTCTCAGGTAACTGCTTTGAGTGTTAACTTGTTTATTTTAGATGTTTGATTATCATTTGCTGAAGTTAACACAGGTTTCTTCTGCTGTCCAAGAAGTAGAATGTTCTTAAGAATCAATCCTTTTGTAAGCAGAAATGATGTCAAGAAGCAGTTACATTATTATTTTATGTGGGAACATTTTTTTAAGCATCTCTAGAACCAAAAAAGAGTTCTGGTGGCTTAGCGTGGCAAAAAAATCAGGCTGACAACCCAGAGGCATGCAGTTCGAATCCACCAGCTGCTCCACGGGAGGAGGATGGGCAGTCTCCTCCCGTGCGATTTACTGCCTCTTAAAACCCGCCAGAGAGGCAGCTATGACTCAGTTCTTACCAGTGGTACTCTACAACAGCGAACTCGCAAAATAATCTACCAAATAACACACCAGACATAAAACAGCATTAGTAAGTATTGCTCATAGACGCAGCTCAGCGCTGTGGCAGCGTTGCTGGGTGTGGTTGCCAGGAAAGGAGGCTGAAGATGCGTTTCTTACTGCTCAAGGTGTGCTCGGTGGCTCACTGTAAAATAGATGTTGATCAGAGTTTTAAATTTCTTTATGAAAACAAAATCTTCATCTTTTCTTACTGACAGTAGATAGCAATGTAAGGTTTTTGTGTTTGTGAGGTTGTGTTGTGTTGGTTTTTTTTTTTTTATTGAAGTGGCATAAAATAAATTTTTGATGGGGAGGAATGAGATACCTATATGTTGAAGCTTGTTTGGAAATAATTCAAATATTTTGGGTAGGAACATTTCAAAGAGTGCTTAGAAATACTCCTCTCTGCAGTGTAACTCGAGGTACATCTCAGATTCAGTTGCTTTACAGTGTTTTAAAAGTGTCTTCCCGTCTGGATTAACACTGAAATTACTAAATTTAGATCCATCACCGAAATTACAAAAACATAATAATTGACATTAGAATCATAGGCAACAAGCTTATAGACACTTTTAAATCAGAAGAGATAAACTCATAATAAAAGTAGAGTTTTGAACCCATTCATTCTGGCTTCATTCCTTGCTGAGAATTTATATTTCCACTTCAGGTATACAGGATAAAAACCAGCATTTTTGTATATTCCCAGGTACATAAGGGCCATCTTCAGATCACATTAAAATGTAGATTCTTATTAGGGGATTGGTTAACCTAGAATGAACTGCTTTCTAAGCCCTGTCCAAAATGAGTTTTACCATTTATTAAAAATACAGTCTCTTAAATACAAAAATGGAATGAAAACTTTCCCACTTTGTTAACAGACTGTCTTTTAAAGTTAGTTCTTTTAAAAATGTTGCTGTTTTTGAAAACATACATGGGTAAACTCACCAGCACGCACAGTTTAAGGCATTGGTTACCTTCCTCGTGTTGTACAAACATCCCATCCTGCTTTCCTGATGGTTTTCCCCTCAGTAACACAAACTCACTGCCCTCTGAGGGCTCCCATCTAATCTTTCTATTTGCTCCTTTCAGCCTGCACTTAATAACCAGCCTGGGTTTATGGAACTTGAGGTTATGAGAATAATGAATAGTGAAAGAGTTCTTAAAGTTCTTTTTAGTGTTTTTCCTTTTCTTCTGTAGTTTCAAAGCTAGAGAATTCTTTTTCACCAAGAATTTTAGGTCTTTAAGTTCCCACTGAGATTCCACGGCCATCAAGTTGGACTGACATGTAATGATTCTATAGAGCCAAGTACATATGGTGTCCAGGCTGTGATCTTGTCAGAAGCTGTTTCAAGCACATCTTTCTCCAAAGAAGCAGCTGGTAGACTTGAATCCCGGACCTTGAGGGTAGCACTCAAGTGTTTTAACCACTGTAAGAACAAGGCTTCTTAGCTCTCCAGCTCCCCCCGGGAGAAGGGTGAACAAGCTCCTGTCATGTGATTTATAATTTCTGAAAACCTATCAGAGACTCATCTGTGAGTTGGTTCTAAGTCAGTGACAACACACCAGTTATGAAAAGAAAGTAGTCAAGATGATGAATTCTCTTTAGCTTTGCCAGCGCGTTGGAAATATCACTGATTATTGGATATTGTCTATTTCTTCAACTGTTAATCTCTTGCTTTATTTCGTTTAGGACCCGCTGAAGTTCCCATGATGTCACCCAACGGATCCATCCCTCCCATCCACGTCCCTCCAGGTTACATCTCACAGGTAAACTATGCGACGCGCTTCTCTTCTCCTTCACTGTTACTGTTCCAGTAGCGTATATATTGAGAAAGAAAAAACAAAAAAACCCACCTTTTTTCCCAGGGGTTAATGTCTTTATGATAGTGCCATCATTATTGTGGTGAGGAGTTAATTACTAAGTCTCACCTTCCTCTTCATGGTCTAATTACAAGCAGGGTCGCCACTTCCTGTGTCTTAGCACTTGACGGGCCTGAGGGTCTGAGGGAGGGTGAACCAGCAGGATTCGCACACTCCCTTCAGTCCAGTTGGGGTTCACGCGTGGACATTTGGCTGCTACCCTATTGAGTTCCTCAGGGATTTTCTTCCATTTGTTCCTCAGTTTACAGAAGCAAAATATTCAGACTAAATTAGTAAAACTATCAAAAGAGGTCCTGGTAACATAGTTAGAACCCACTCTGCTGCAAGAGTCCATTTCTTCATAAAGTGGAATGGCTGAGCTTTGTGAATTAGCTAGTATGTTTTGAAAACTTGGCTGTTTGTATATAAATTCCTCTGAATTTTTGGTTTTCTCTTAAGTAAAATGATAGTAATAGCAATCTCAGTGGTATGCTGAAAGGGTAACGTCTAAGGTTATAATCTTTTACTTGGATAATGTATAAAATGCCCTGGCTGTCTGGAACGTTCTTCTGGATGTCTGTAAATGCACCTTAACTTTTTCTTAAATTCAGTATAATGTGTCCACTTGCAGGCTCCCCTGCATAGCTGCCTCTTTAACTAATGAAGTAATCAGCTCTCTTCCTCTTTCTTTCTGCTTCCACTGGTCTTCCTTCCCTCCCCACTAGTATAAACACTTCATGTTCTAAGTGGAGTGATATTAAGAGTTGCCTAAATTATGTGCAGTTTTTACCACCCAGAGATGATAACCACTCCATCTAGATTTTTTTTTATACTTACTTTTGACTTTTCAAGTGATTTAAGAATCTGTGCTTTTCAGTTTTTAATTATTTCACGAGGATGAAAAAAATTGGCTACTACATAGGAAAATTGCTGAGGTACAGGCAGAAATAAGGAGAGATTTATCCTTCTGCAGAAAAAGCTTACCCATTTTTTTTACTGTCTAAACCATATTGCAGACTGTATAATTTTTTCAATCCCTACTTTTATGTGAGCCAGTTGGACATCTTTTTCTTTTCTTTCTTTTTTTTTTGAGGAGGAGCCCTCTTTTTGGCATCACTGCTAGTGCATGACTTGTTTTACACAAATCTTAGTAATATCGTTGGAGGGAGAAGTGAATATAGAACAGACTCTTCCAGTGTTTGAACACAAGGTGATGATCACCAGGTAACAAAAAAAGTAAAGACTATAGAACTTCGAAAAGCCTGTTTCTTGTTCTGTATGGATGTTTCATCAAACATGTAGGGTTCAGGTCTCATCATTCGGAGGGCAGAAATCACACCTTCACTTTCACTTCAACTACAGCGTTTCTATGAGTAGAAATTCACTAGATAGAACAGAGCTTTGTTTATATTGAAAGTCCACTTAAGGAAGACTAGGAAGACCCTCTCATGACCCAGTGGTAAGCAGGTAAGCAGGGAGGCAGCCGGCCTAAACACAGGCAGTTCAAATCTAGGTGCTTCACTGGAGAACGATGGGCAGTCTCCTCCAATACAATTTACAGCCTCTGAAAACCTGCTGGAAGGATTCTGACTAGAAGGCACATAACAACCATAGGAAGATCCTCTGTAAAACTTAGTGGTGACAACGGGCATGAGAAAGAACCAGCTTGAGGATGTTGCAGGATAAGGCAAGGCTGAGCTCTGTTCATGGCGTTGCTAACTTGCTGGATGATACTTCAAGAACAGTAACAGTGAAGGCAGAGGGTTTTGTCCACCATGAAGAAACTGTAGGAGGTTTTTCGGTGTTTGGGGTCGTCCGTGTCCGTCCCCCCCCCCCCCCCCCCCCCCCCCCCGTTGTTGTTATTTTTTGCCAATTGTTTGGAAGTGATTCTGTTAGTAGTGTAAGGTTTGTATGGACTTCTAGGGAAAATAAGAGAATGCTAGACTTTGGTATATTTTTTATTCTGAGAAACTGCTAAAGAAAATTCAAGTAGAAAGGGTAAAAATAAAGCTGTAAACTTTCTTGAAACTGATGAAATACAGTGAAGCATTTTTCAGCTCAGAAGTACAGAACAAAATGTTAAAAGATATATAATAATAGTAGAAATATAGATATCATATCAGTAATTGAAATTGTTGTTATTATGTGCCATCAAGTCACCTTTATATACAACATAGCGGCTCTGTGTATACAGTAGCTCTGAAGCCTGCCTTGTCCTAAGCCAGTCTCACTGACTTTGACACACCTACCCCTATTACCCTGGTTTCTGTGTCAATCTATCTGATCCTGGGTCTTCCTCTCCTCCATGGTCCCTCTACCCTTCCAAGAATGATGTCATTCTCCAATGACTTGGTCCCTCTTGGCCACATGCCCAAAAAGTATGTGAGACAGAGCTTCAAAATCCTTGCCTCTTAAGCAGCAACTTGGTTTCACCCTCTCCAAGACTGTTCTCTTGGCATAGTATAAATATGATTACAAAACAGTTATATTTATATTGTTGTTATGTGCCATCGACTCACTTGAGAGTCATAGCAACTCTATGTACAGTAGCTCTGAACCCTGCCCTATGCTAAACCAGTATCACTCTCTCTGACACACTTACCCCCATCATCTCAATTATTGTGTCAGTTCATCTCGTCCAGGGTCTTCCTCTCCTGTGCTGTCCCTCCGCTCTTCCAAGCATGGTCTCCTCCACCAAGGACTGTCCTCTCCTGGCAGCATGCCCAGAGTATGTGAGATGGAGCTTCAAAATCCTTGCCTCTAAGCAGGTTGGCTTCACCCTTTCCAGGACAGACCTGTTTGTTCTTTTGGCGGTCTGTAGTCTGTTCAGTACTCTTTTACAGCACCACAGCTCAAAAATAGTAGAAATTAAAGAATTTGGATCCATAAAGGAGAAAGACAGTCTCTCGATGTGTTGGGCTCTCTGATCATAAGGTATGCTTGTGACTGGCTTTCAGTGGAGGCACTGCATTTTTAATGATACATGACAGTGAAGCATCTGAAAAAAGCCAGATTGCTATTAAGATGAAAATGTGATTAGGAAACAATAGCATTTGTGTACTGCATCTTCTGTAAGACTGGTGGCATTACCTTTTAAAAAAAATGAAGAGGATGGAACCAAGTATAGAATATTTTAGGAGACATGTCATTACTCAGAGCAACAATATATTGTTGTTCTGCAGTTGAAATTTAATCAGTCTCATACATAATGTACACCCACACTCAAATACCCCTCCAGGCTGTACATAGATAAGAAATCAGCAGTTAATATCTCTTTCTGAGAGTTAATTCTCCCTACATGTTCCCTGCCCAAAATACATAAAAATACTAATACAAAGGCCCGCCCACCAGATCCTGTTTGCTTCCCACCCACAGCTGATTGATTGTGAGTGAAATGATTGTGAGTGAAATCAGAAACAGCCAGTTGGCTTACACGCGATTGCTAACACAATCAGAAATGCCCAAACAGTTTACACCCAGCCTTCGAGTAAATAAAAAACACCCTCCAAGATCCAACTGCTCCAAGCTGGAGTCTCATGCTCAGGCAGGACCCAGCTGACTTTTAAATACAAAGGCCAACCCATCAGATCCTTATCATTGGACCGAGACAGAGTCATGATGGCTGGAGACGAGATCAAAACTGTCAACAGCTTCATCTTGCTTGGATGCACAACTAACACCCTTGGTACCAGTCAGGAAATAAGGAGAAGCATTGCACTGGGAAAAATCTACAGTTAGGGACCTTTCCAGAGTATTGAGGAGTAGTGATGTCAGGTTGAAAACTAAGGTGTGTCTGATTCAAGCCATAGACTTTCTGATTACTAGCTATCCATCTGTGAGCTGGACATTAAATACGGATGACAGAAAATGAACAGATGCCTTTGAACTGTGGTGTTGAATAAGACCATTGAACATCCCACAGACAGCCAAGAGAATGAACAGCTATGTCTTGGAGATGGTACAGCCGGAGTGCTCTTTGGAAGCAAGAATGATGAGGCATCACCTCACATACTTTGGGCATGTTTCTAGGAGGTGCGGTTCCTTGGATATGATACTGGGAAGGATGGAGCGTCAGTGAAGGAGAGGTGGACCGTCAAGCAGGTGAATTGACATAGTCAGTACTACAGTGGCTCGTAGGTGTCTGGAAGTGTGAGGCTCGCACAGTTTAGAACAGGCTTCAGATCTTTTGTTTATAGAGTTGCTATGTGTCGTGCTTGACTTGATGGCACCTAACAACAACAACAACAAAATACATATGACTCAGTTGGAGTAGAGAGTTGAATGAATACTGCACACATAATAAAGTTCTCTAGTTGAATGTACACTGGTGGCCTAGTGTAAGGTTCTGTGCAGCCAACCCAAAGGCACGCAGTTCATATCCATCAGCTGTCTGTTAGAGAAAGGTGGACCTTCTCCTCCCATTCAATATGAAGTCTCTGAAAACCCACTGTAGGGTCAATTGTGAGTTGGTTCTGATTTGGCAACATGTAACAGGAACAACAAATTGAGTGTGTGAGAGACCCCTAGTGGCATGATCTGTAGAGTTGTGCTGTAAACACGAATGCAGCAGTTCCGGTGGTGCCAGAACCATTCTCGTTACAGGGAAGTTGTTTTGTTTTGTTGGGCTTTTTAGTGCCGTGTTGTGTGAGGTCCTCTACACCTGGCCTTGATCTCCTTTCACATGAATCGCTCCACACTGTACATCCTGGAACCTCCACTCACTGCATCCATCCTTCCTTTTCTTAACCACACACCTTTGCGCCCAGTATGCCTCTGTGGCTTTAGGAATCTAGAGGCCCCACTTTATCTGATTCCCAGTCATCCTGCCATGTCTGGTGCCCTCCTTAGGGTGGCCCTTCCAGAACCTCCAACATGGAAATGGTGGTTCGGGTTTCGGTCTGGATTTC